TTGTTCTTCTGAGGGAATGTCTCACACTATCCTGGGAAAGCGTCAGCACCTGGTCGCCAGGAGGGGGGTGGGGTCCTCTGTGCTGGGGTGTTGTTGTCTGTCTCAAAACGGGCGAAGAAGTTGTTCAGGTTGTTCAGCAGAGTGATGGAGCTGTCACAGGTGTGCGGAGAGGGCTTGTAGTCCATGATGGTCTGGATCCCCCGCCACAGGTTCCTGGTGTCTCTGCTGTCCTTGAACTAGTCTGCAATCCTCCTTGAATATTGTCTCTTGGCCAGTCTGATGCCTCATGACAGGTTGGCCCTGGCAGTCCTGAGGCCCACCAAGTTTCCAGCTCTGAAGGCAGTGTTCCTGGCCCTCAGGAGCCTGTGGACCTCACCTGTCAGCCCTGGCTTCTGATTGGCCTGGATGGTGATGGTTCTGGTGAGCGTGACATCATCCATGCACTTCCTTATGTAGGACGTGACGGTCTCCTCGTACTCGTTGAGGTTAACGGTTCCATGTTTAAACAGACTCCAGCCTGTGGTGGAGAAACAGTCTTGGAGTGCTTCTGTGGACCCCTCAGGCCACACTCGGACTTGCTTCCTCACTGGTTTGACGACTTTCACCAGTGGCCTGTATGCTGGCATTAGCATCACAGTGGTGTGATCTGAGGCACCACGGTGGGGGAGGGGGAGGGCTTTGTAGGATCCTCTGATTGTAGTGTAGACGTTGTCCAGAATACTTGTGGGAAAGTTGATGTGGCCATGGAGGTGTGGAAGCACGCTCTTGGGGTTTGCATGATTGAAATCTCCAGCCAAGATGAGAAAGGCATTGGGGTGGACTGTCTGCTGCTCACTGATGTGCTGATGGAGTTCAGACAGAGCCATACTCCTGCTGTTGGATGAGCCAGGGGGAATGTATATTGCTACCAGCAATATGGCATTAAATTCCCTCGGCAGGTAGAATGGCCGGCATTTGATCTTCATAAACTCCACCGTTTGTGAGCAGCGCTTGCAAACCACAACAACGTCTCGGCACCAGGCATCGTTGATGTAAACACAGAGTCCCCCGCCGCGAGTCTTCCCCCCCTCGACGAGCTCTCTCGAGGTGTTCACACGGCAACATTTGGTCCGACACAGCACCGGCGCTGCGCCAGTTGAGCATTCACACGTGCAAATTTGCTCCGGCATAGCGCCGGAGCAAATTTAACAGCTTACACCGGACTAAATTTGATCCACCTCAGGGAGGTGGTTTAAAAATTTGCTCCAGAGCAAATGCTCGTTTGTGGTGCACCACTGATGTAAATTTACACGTGTGAACGCTACAATTTGCTCCGGAGCAAATGCTCTTTTGTGAGGGGGGAGTAGCCTCGCTATGCATGAGAGGAGTTGATTACGTACGGCGAGAATGCGTTGCTTTCGTGCTCTGTCAGACTTCCGTCATGTGTTTGTTTAATAACGACACAAGACAAGGCTGGTAACAGTAGCAAAGCACGTCTTGGGTTATACCATCTCAACTAGAACGGGGGCTGGGGGGGGGGGGATAGTCTCCAAAGGTCATCTTTCATTTTGTAGGAGACTGGACTGTCTCGGAGTTGTTTGTGTAGTTTGTTCCTTTGTTGTGTGGTCACAACCCCCCCCCGTGCCCCATAGAATTTATGTCGTGATTTCCTCTCTTGATTTTTCTGTTTGGCGCATGACATTTTTGCTTTTCTGAGTGTCATTGAAGTCATCGTTGATTTACGTGATCAGGTGGCGGTCACTCTCGAGCAGAAGGCACGGAGACCGAGAAGGAGAAGGACGTGCCTGTACAGTAGTTGCTTGAGTTGTGTATATGTTTAAAAAAGAACCAACGCGACAACTCATTTGTTTTCTGTCGTTTTGCTCCGCTGCAGAAACTGCCGTGTGAACACAAGTGGAGCTGCACCGACGCTGCGCCGGTGCTGCCACGCTCAGCAGCGTTGTACGTGTGAACGCTCCACAAAATTTGCTCCAGTGTAAACTATATCGCAACAAAATACATCAGTGCAGCGCCGGATCAAATGTGTGCCGTGTGAACACCCCTTCTGTCTGTTCGGTAGCACGTTAGCCTGGCTAGCCGAATAGCCCGGTCCGGGATACTGTCGTTGAGCCATGTTTCCACGAAAACAAAGACGCAGTCACTCACGGTTTTGCGAGATGTCCGAAGTAAGCGGATATAGTCCAGTTTGTTGTCCAGCGAGCGTACATTGGCCAGCATGATGGTCGGGATAGCCCGTCGATGAGGGCTAGCTGGTAGCCTAGCCCGGATACCTCCACGCTTCCCCTTCTTCTGCTTCCTTAGATTCTGTCCGTGGTGCTTCCACTACGGGCTAGTTGCAGGATTGGGGGTCGGTGATTGAGCAGGCCTCCGTGGCAGACCGCAGTCACGCAGCAGACCGCAGTCAACCAGTTTTTCCGCGTTTGTTGGATTTGTTTTTGTAGTTCTGCCGATGGCGAGCAGAAACTCACGAGGGTATGCGCACCTTGGTGCGCAAGACAGTGAAAACAAGGCACATAAAGAACACGAAGAACACTGATTTGCAGGGGGAGAGAGAGAAGCCGCTGCGGGTAGCTGTGCCGCCATCTTTCATGTGCAGTTAGCGGTCACGATGGAGCCAGTCTTCTTATTCACACATACCCATGGATGATAACACTGAGACTTTTGTCCCTGTCTTTGACGAGGTGAGACATCGGCTTTCAGGAAACAAAAGTCACAGTTTTCAGCAGCTTGATGAAAAAGAAATGACTAAACATGGCCACATACCACGTAATTATAAGCATCAAGACTCATGTAGGCTTTGAGAGTCTCGTGTGTGAAAACGCGACGGGTATTTATATCAAATACAGGCAGCGGTGCGTGAGCGGACTCTGTTCACCGAGTGCTTGTGCCTCTGAGTTGTGTGCGCATCTTCATGACGTCACTGTTGTTTGCAAACATTGAAACTGGTCTATTGCAGGGCACGCATAGACAATCAACCATTCGCGCTCACACTCACATCGAGGGACAATTTAGAGTGTTCAATCAGCCTGCCATGCATGTTTTTGTAATGTGGGAGGAAACCGGAGTACCCCGAGAAAATCTAAGCAGGCACGGGGAGAACATGCAAAGCCGGAGCCGGAATCAAACCCTGCACCTCTGCACTGCGAGGCTGACTCACTAACCAGTCGAAACCGCGCCTAATATTCTATTCGTTAAAAACACATATCCTTAAAATCTACGACGTGGGGGACTTAATTGCTCAATTCATGTTCAAAGTAAAAGACAATATGCTTCCTTGTTGTGTTCAGAAAAATGGATGCCAAAATGTACAAAGATATTCTGGGTTTATTCTATTTTGGGATGAGGCTCGAACAAGAAAATGTGGGAAAAGTGAAACACTGTGAAGATTTTATGGATGCAGAGTACATCCAGTTTGGCAGGCTTGTGTTCAAAATTTCTTTGCGACAAGACAATCCGGTTGCAACCCTGAACAAACACTGATTAAAAAAAACATTTGCTCCATTCGCTAACACTAACGAGCCTTCGCCGCTTAAAAATCCAACAGTAAGTGAATTCAACATTGCCAAACATTAAGTAGTTATCTTAACTCATTTGGCTCTCCTCATAACTTTCATTCTAAACACAAACCATAATACCATGTCTAGAGCTGTCAAACTATTAAAATATTTAATCGAATTCAAAACGCAACTGCCATAATTAACTCAAATTAACTCATGATTAATCGTAATTACTCACATATTTTTTAGCGTCTCTGAATTTTCTTTTATATATTTTTTGTCCTATTTTTTCCCGTTTTAATGCTCTCATCAACATGGAATCATGGATCAGTTTTCTATGTGCAAAATGCAAATATTTACTGAAACAACAATTTCGATTTTCAATTTTACATGAACATTTTTCACTTGGAGCAGTTATTCACACATACTCTCTCACATAATATTACTGTCTATCAACAAAAGTGAAAAAAATATTTTGCCACACAACAGCTCCTTTAACAGCTCTTTTTAGGGAATCAAAACAGAGCAATATAACATAAAGTGCACATCTAAGGTAAACTAGGACTCAGCCGATAGTGGATTGAAGCCATGGTTGCATATTTCGTTTTTCTCAAGTTTGCTTTGAACACAGCAGTCAGGCTGTGTTGATTCTGTTGGTCCTTCTTGCGCGGAAGTCTCTCTATGGTTTTGTGTAGACATCATTTCGGATGACTACACTTGGTTCGAGGCAACACTGGAGACGTTTTATTTTCAGTGTGGTTGCTACGACTGCACCGCTGAACTCTCGACATGCCTCAGCGCACCGTCACTGTCAGACGAACACAGAGAAGCTCCACCCCCTTTATTTATATGGACACGGAACACAGTAACCTTCCATGCAAAACAGTTCCAAACAAGTAACAATCGCGTCAGTGGCATACATCGTACTCAACAGGCTACCTGCTCTTTATTCACCAGAAGCTCATCAATCTAGTCTCTTATTTCTCTCCCGAAACAGTGTCTTCTCCCGCTTGGTGTACCTTAGCCTTCTCCGCTACGTACAGTTTCTGTGCATAGCTTGTAATGGAGGCTCTTGCAAGCACAACCACACAGCTGATGTAGCTGTGTGCTTGGCCATTAAGTGGTATTTCAGACTTGACGTGCGATGATGATAGCTCAGTTTACGACTGCAAAATATACAGGTAACTTTGGTCTTGTCAGTGGAACAATCTGGCAACTTTTTAAAAGTAAACTTTCCATTCATAAACTCTTTTAAGTATCCGTTTTCGGTGTCTCGCGCTGCCATGGCTGGCAAAACAGACATGGGCGTGGACTTGTGCAGCGTGCTTGTTGTTTTGTTTCCGGTTTATTTATAGAGCAACATAAAATATGCTGTGACGTGTTGCCGCATTAATCTCGCAAGAAAAAATTTAATCACGTTAAAATTCATTTAAATAAATGCCGATAATAACGCGCTAAACTGACAGCTCTAACCATGTCTGCTTGTCTTCTTGTGTCCCGTAGACATCAATGAAGATGTTCAGGCTGAGTGGCAGGAGCCAGAGCCATCTCAAATTAAAGAAGAGGCGTGTGAAGAGGTCCCCCAATTCAAAGAGGAAGAGAAGCAGCAGCCCTCTTGTTTCCAAAACAAGAAGGAGCCAGAGAGTCCTTGCAGGAAAGAGGTGCGACTAGAGCTCCCCGACATCAAAGAGGAGGAGGAGGATAGATGGAAATCGTGCAGAGAGGTGGAGCCTCCAAGCAGCAGCTCATGGGAACACATTACAACCAAAGGTGATGGAAGATGTCAAGCAGATGGCCTCTTAGCTCCACTATCAGACTGTGACGACGTGTTGTCACATGCTCATCACACTGATGATGATGAACAGTCTGAAGGTAATTTGGCAGGCCACACTGACAACAAATGCTGGAAATGCTCTCAGTGTGGGAATGCTTTTACTTACAAGAGCCGTTTGAAGCAGCACATGAGAATACACACTGGAGAGAAACCTTTTGCGTGCTCAGATTGTGGCCAAAGATTCTCTCATAGGGGAAGCTTGACAAGGCACACACGGGTCCACAATGGTGAGAAACCCTTTGCCTGCTCCGTTTGTAGTCAAAGATTTTCTCATAACAGAAATTTAAAAATCCATACAAGAATCCACACCGGCGAGAAACCTTTCTCCTGTTCAGTCTGTGGTCAAAGCTTCTCTCAAAAGACAAACTTAAAAATACACACAAGAACCCACACTGGAGAGAAACCTTTTGCCTGTCTAGTTTGTGGCCAAAGATTCTCTCTCAAGACAAGCTTAAAAATACACACGAGAACACACACTGGCGAGAAACCTTTTGCCTGCACAGACTGTGGCCAAAGTTTCTCTCAGAAGGGAAGCTTAAATCATCACACTCTAACCCACACTGGTGAGAAACCTTTTATCTGCTCAGTTTGTGGCCAAAGATTCTCTCGGAAGACATACTTAAAAATACACACGAGAACACACACTGGTGAGAAACCATTTGCCGGTTCCATTTGTGGTCAGATTATCTCGTGAGACAATCTAAAAATACTGTACACACAAGAATCCACACTGGTGAGAAACCCTTTGCCTGCTAAGTTTATGGCCAAAGATTCTCTCCGAAGGAAATAGAGTCAAGAGACTCAAGTGTGCTGGTGAGCAGAAGACTGAAATAAAATTTACGTGTTGAACATCTTAAGTATTTACTGTGATGTTTCGTTACAAAAACCTATTTTTAAATCCTATGTAGCGTCGTTTATGTTAATTTCTTGAGTCTGAGCTTTTAAGACTCCTGGGGGTCAAGTGTTAAGAATTACTAATAGCGCTAAGGTACTTCAAGCAACGCATAAACTTTGCACAATGTTTTAGTGATGTCTGTATTAAGTTAATGACTGAGCACACTGTGGAGAAACTTTGACTTTTATTGTGAAGGTGGGGGAATATAAATGTGATTCTGAATAAATTATAAATCATCAAACAAGCAAGTGATTTTTCACCAATGAAATAGACAAGATATTTTGACTTTCCTTTCATTGATTAATTCAACTCTTTTGTTGACTAAGTTTCTCTGGTTGTTTTTTATTTTCCAAATTTTGTTTTAATGAATACATTCCTTTTAGAATGAATAAAATCATTTTAAAAGAAGGATGCACAGATGGAAGCCTGTCCTGGCAGTGACTGCAACATTGCCCATGGTGTGCCATTCCACACAGAAGTATAACGGTACAGCAAAGGTGCTGTGCTGAATGAAGTGCTTCTTTGATGTACATGATGAAATCTGACAATTCGTGGAGGAAAAAAGGGTAAACCGATTCAGGAATTACAGTGCCCACTTGGGCTGCAGGACCTTGTATTCAAGGTTGACATCAGAGAGCACTTGAATAATCTTCACAAAATGTCCCAAGGATGCCAAACGATTGTATTATGACAGCATACGTGTATTCAAGTTAATGATCAGGTTATGGAAGACGCAGATGGCAAGCGACGACTTTGCTCTTTTTCGTGTAGAAAGCGGTAATTGTGACGTGACAACGGTACAAAGACGAGAATTCCGGGTTGCTGAGGCAGTTTGAGAAACAATTTCAAGTCTTGAGCCAACTCGAGACAGAATTGGCGGTTTTGCACTCACCATTCACAGTCAAAGCTTCTGAGTTCCCCGTTGACATACAAATTGAAATCATTGTTTTACAGTGTGATGTAGTAGAGGATTCCGGCTCCGGGCTTCCTGCGTGGAGTTTGCATGTTCACCTCGTGCCTGTGTGGGTTTACTCTGGGTACTCCAGTTTCCTCCCACATTCCAAAAACATGCAGGGCAGGTTAATGGAACACTCTAAATCAGCCTTCCTCAACTGGCGGACCGCGATCCACGACCGGACCGCCGACCTCCTCTGTCCGGACCTCCTCTGTCCGGACCCTCGGCAAATTGTATAAAATAATAATTTATAAAGTGGTTTTTACGTTATACATTTTATATTTGTGGACTATAATCTGCGCATTACCGCGATCGCTTGTTAAAATTATCCGTTGTATTCTTTGCATGCACTAACAGAGGTATTGCTGAGGACCGCAGCAACGCGACTGTGTGTTGTATAATGTTTGACGAACTGGAGACCCTGGCTGAGCAGGGCATGTCGGCGATAATGACGTGCTGATTGGCTCCTCTGAACTTAAGGTGTGCCCATACATAAGCGTCAGCACGCGTCTATCCCAACACACACGCATTCAAAATGGATGATTGTGTCAGGAAACAGACGCATGCGCGACGCCACAGTTGTGCTCACAGCTTCAGTCCAGGAGAGCTGCACACAGACAATTAGACAAGACGAATCGCGGGAGGTTTCGATTGTGTGCAGTTTTGCTCCCGTCTACCCGGGGATCTTTGCAGCTGTTTAACAGCAGAACACCGCAACATGGTAAATGAACATCACAATGGCGTCCTCAAATAATATTTGCATGCCTCAAACATTGCATTCACCTTTAGTGGAAGAACAGCACTGCACATTCCT